TCGAGCACACACAGACACGCCGTGTTCTACACGAGCGCGTGGCTGATCCGATCTGCAGCCTGCTGCACTCTCAGGGCTTTGTTTACTTAACGCAAAATCAATACCTTTATTTCCAGGACAATGATTCCAACATTCTCATGGAATAGCTGCCTAATTTGAAAGTCAAGTCCAGATGTTCATTGCAAAAGAATCTAATAACAGCCCACAAAAGAAGAAGTGTGCCTCTCACGCAAACATGTTGGAATAGCCTGTGGAAACAAGTTAGCTGACGGCTATAGATTTGTCAGGCTGACAATTCATGCACATCTGTGTCTGCCAATACAGAATTTACTCAAAATTGCCTCTCCAGACACTTCTTTACATAACACATATTTAGCTTATTAGTGCTGTCATTTGGGAGCGTGGTCAGCTTTTGAGCAAAATCTCACTGAGTCCATTAGCACGGATCACATCGCAGCTGCCATTTTAGAAGCACGATGATTGGGTTTGAAGTTCAAATGATTTGATTTCACTTTAAGGCTTCAAAAGCAGCCCCTGGGGTAGATTTACACAATTAATTTTTACTGAGGTCTGCTGGGTAATTTACTGTAGTCAGAGGATCTTCACTGAGGTAAGGTAATTACCACTGGGTAATTTTATGGCACTCCGTTCAGTACGAAAGCAAAATGTTGGCTGGTTTCTGCTCAGATAAGTCCTGGAAGGAAGAGAAGATGCCACTTTTGGGAATCACAACATGTCTGTGACACTGAGGAGGGACAAGAAGAATTCACTGACTTCCCAGATATGGACCAGAAGCCGTACATGCCCTCAAAATGTCTTTTCAGGAGGGTAAGGACTTAGACAATCTCTTAAACATTGTACTGAGAAGCTTTCAAAATTGAAGCACTGTACCCATGATTCTTCAATACAGGAACAAAGAATGCATTCTTTGTTTAGTCTGAGCACAGAAGTAAACAATGAAATTAAACATCCCTTTGAGATTTGTATTTATCACTTACAAGAAGTGTTTCCTAATAATCAGTGGCAGCTAGGCTGACAAGCAAACTTCAGAGCAAAGCCGGGGGGGATACAAGTCTATTTTAGGTTTGCTATTGACAGTAAGGGTCAGAGGAAAAATAAACTCAGCAAGCAGTGTCATGCTACCACAAACCTCTGCTGGCCAAGCAGAAACTAAATTACAGCCAAACCTTTCAGCACAGCAGAAAGACTTGGGCAATTGGGCTGCCCTGCAGTGCACAGAGCACAACATACAGATGAACAGGATTAAGCACAAGTGAGACATGACATAAATTGCAGAGAAATAAATCAAAAGATTGGAGGAGCTAATTATCCTGTAGTCTGGAGTGGGGGTATGTTATGCTTTCCCCTATTATTTTAATATTTCCAGTTTGAAAAATTAATCTGTGAAGCCCTGCAAAAAAAACAAGGATTGGCCACAGACTCATTCAAAATAATAATATAGGTAATCTCAACTACCAAACTGAACTATAAGAACGAAAGAAAAGAGCAGCAGAAGGATTTAGGCACAATTTCTATCACATACATATAAATATGAATAATAGAAAATAAAAATACTTTGAGTGTAAAAGTTTAGTCCTCAGCTTCATTTCATATACTGCAGCACTACTGGGAAAGCTTATTTGATTTCTCTATCTCAATAATAAAACTTAAGATTTGTGTAAGGGGAAGAAGAGGGAATAAACATATTCTATATATGATGGCTTTCATTTTGTTAGGTTTACTTCCTACTAAAGTTGATGATAAAAGCAGCTGTGTAGACTCATAAGCACTTCTATCTACATCTCTCCATGGACTAATTACAAATATCTGTTTCATACAGCCCCAGCATCTAAGGCAGATTTAATTTTATTCTACCTTTCACTAGGCATATATCAAAACCTGTCATTTCATTCCATTATTTTGCTTTCCTTTTTCTCTACCTATCATCCACTGGATGCAAACACAACCCTGTAATTCCTACTGTTCTCTTTTACTTTTCTTTGCTTTTTGGTTTGTTTGTTTGTTTCTTTCGATGGAGCCACAAATGTTTTGTCCATTGTCAGGGGCCAGTTGCTTGAAACAAAGGAGGCTTTTCAACTTTCAAACTATAATTATAGAGGACAGAAATGTTCTTATTGCCCTTTTCTTCTAACTAGTGATGATACACTGATAATTTATGAGGAGCATCCATGTACCACAGAGAAAACTTTCCAGATTTTAAGAAGGTGTTTAAAACTGAAATGCAGTCCTAGTGAGTGATGCCTCATCTTTGTACATTCATTCTTTGCCAAACTAATGCTCACCTGTGCTATTCTTTTTGAAGAACAAAAGATTCTTCATTTTGAAGAATTTTTTAAGAGACTTGCTTACCATTCTCTCACAGTTGTCTGCTAATTTTATAGATCTCTGGGACATTAAGAGCATGTGGCAAGGCCACACTAACTTGGTTGTGATTTTGGAGCACACAGGTTGTCAGATTAACAAATTCTCCTGACCTTGAGGTCCCATAACCCATCAATTTTACCAGCACTATTTTTGCCCTGCTGCAAGGTGGCATTGAGGATATATGCTGGATCAGCTTCTACAGGGTCCCATGGGCGTGATTCCTTTCAATACAAACTGGATGTCTTTTAAATGTTTGAAATCTTATGGATGGACTGATGGAAAAAAAACCAGCTTCTGGTGACTGCATTAATATCCACAACAACGGTGAGTAACAAGGAGAATAAAGTCAAGGAGCCCAGTTCCAGCCTAATATACTCCATTTGGAGTATTTGGGATTGCTCCAGTGAATTATTTCTTTCCTCTTTTTCCTTTAAGGCTCTCTGATGAACCACATCATCAGTTCCTTGAATCTTCTCTTTTTATAAAGTTTCCTTTCAAAATTTGACCAGCACTAAGACTTCTGAGTATGCTGACCATGGAATGGAGGTGGCAAGGACAAGGGCAACAAAAGACAGCTCTTAGCCTTTTTGTCACCAATAATAGAATACTTCTTTCTCCATAGCTTTAAATGGTACTTCCACTCTCTGCCCTAAACTTCAGCTTCTTTTGGCACATTTATCACTTCTCTTTCCATGTATAACGACTCTATACCAGTGCTGGAGAGTATTAAATTGATTGGTGGAAAATTAATGGAGCAAGCAGGAATGATAGAGAACAATTACTTGTGCATTATGGCTTTTGATAAGCTGGCAGTCTGAGGGGGCACTAACATAAAGAACAGCAGCAATGGAAATGCCCAGTGCAGTCTGACCTTGTCAGAGACCTTCAGGGAGGCCAGAGAAGAGGGAGAAGGGTCTTGTTCAAAACTTGGAGAAACAAGCATACAGGAAGATGCACCTCACTGCTATTTAGCAAGGTAGTGCCTTGCTGCAAGGGTGCAGATTGGGAGGAAACAACAAATATTCAGGAACTTTCATATACAAGAGGCCATAAAAAGGCTTATTTGCCTTATGATGCTCATGCAAACCAGAGCCCTGCCTTTATTTCCAACCACATTACACTAAATTACATTGCAGCCATTCTAAACCTTTTTTAGCTGTCCAATTTCTGTATCTACTGTTCCATTCAATTTGGTTCATCTCCTGTGGTGCCAACATCTTGAGCAAGGCACTGAAGAAAGAGCAAATAATTTGGAAGTGAAGGCATGGGCAAGTTCAGTGGCTGATGGCTGTGCAATTTAGAATTCAAGGAAAGAAGGTTGTTAAGGATTCACGTCTCCAGAACAGATGCATTTGAATATATCAGGAGAGGTGTTGAATAGCCATTTGGTGAAGAAAGGCCCTGATCTCCCTCAGTTTAATGATGGCTAGAATGTTTCAGAAAACATTTTTAGCACATATGCTAATCCACATTCTCTTCATTTTCAGACTTTTTTGCAGATGGCATTTTTAGCAAAGTTCTCATCTTTCGTGCACAGAGTGCTTTCGCCATTCCTGCATTTTACATGTGCTGCAAGTCTTAGATGCTTATACAAATATCCCTGTTTAGAAACAAGTTACATATGGCAGCAGTCCTTGACAAGGTTCCTCAGGAACTGGTTGCAGTCACTGAATGCTTGCCTGCTTCAGGAACAGCCTTTTCTGGTTTATAACAGGTCAATTGCACCTGATCTAGAAAGAGATTCTTGAAAGGCCTTTTCCTTTCCCCTGGTCTGACATTTTGCAGATGCCTGTGGTTGCTAGCCAGGCAATGAGATGTACAAGTGTTCTCCAGAAAAACAAACAGCTGGACCCTGAAAAATGGTGGATATAATCCAAGTGAATATGAAAATGTCAGCTGATGGTGAAAAGGTGTTCTCTTGTGTGTCTCACATTTTTTAAGTGACTCAAAAGACAACCTGACTTCAGAGTAGGACACACATAGAAAACCAGATTCATTCAACTTTGAAACAATGCACCATGGAAAACATCAGAAATTTGAAAGAAAAAAATAACCAATATATAAAGATGCAATACAACTGAAGTTTGGATTAGCTTGACTAACAGCTTTTAGGCCAGGCCTAAAAATAAATCCTAAAGAGCTTTTCTTCCCGAGTTTGTACTATTAACAAACTATTAACTGATTCTCATTAGCAGCATTCAGCATTATTGAGGCATTCTTCTACAAACTTTGCTTATTTATACCCTTGTTTCAAGTTCCTAGAAACTTTCAAGGAAAACAGTGAATTAGGATGTTCTTGATGTTTAATAATGCATTTACATTGCTTCAATGATAATCAAAAAAAGACAAATGCATTTTCTCTCCACTATTTCTCAAAGAAAACCAATAACTCAGTCCCACAGTGCTCTCAATGGTAAAGCTTTCATTGAGATTTTTTGAGTCACTCCTGTAAAAATAAAATAAAAAGCACACCCAACCAGCCAAACACAAACCACAGGAGCTGGCTAAAAGAAAGGTGATATCTATCTGCACGATACCAGAGACTTTTGCTCCCACAGACACTCTGAAACAAAACAAAACTATAAAAGCAAGCATGTAGAATGTGTATTACTTACAGTGTATTTCTAGAACCTGCATTGCTATCTGAGGTGTAGAGTTTAGGGACTCATGATCTACTCTGCAACTTACAACTGCACCATCATCACTGCGATCTGCTAGGAAATCCAGCGTGCTGCTGACTGTGAATGTTTTACGAGTTGCATCTTCTTCTTTTAAATACTTAACATCTGAAAGAGAGAATAAACAGTTAGCTATCTTCCCAATATTTTTGGAAAAAAAACAGTCCAGCATTAGACAGCTGAATTTTCTATCACAGTTGGTGTAAAAAACACGTTTTTCATATCTGGTCTCTTTAATATAAAAGTAATTAGACTGTAGTTATTCCTCAGTTTCCCCATTTCAAATTAGGAGATACATATTGAAAGAGAAAATTTTAAATTTGGTTCTATGGTACTGCATTCAAACAGAAATTCCATTCATTATTACCTCTTGCATGTTTAGGTCTATATTTGATATAAACTTTTTCTGTAGGTCATCAGAAAATGACTGTGATTTTGTCCCACCCTCATTACCTTACATATTCACAGTGAATATTTAGTGAAAGATTAGATCTCCCAAGTTCATTCTTACAGCCTCTCACAGTAATGCAATATGTGGATATTACTGAAGCCATGTGCACACAGTCAGATTAATCCTGTGCTTACTTTATTCACTGCTTATTCTGTGGTTTGGTTAGAATTATGCTAATTTGCTAATAAAACTAAACCCAGGTATCAGTGGCAACAAACAACTGTAAACAGAGCACATCGCAGCATTTACTGACATATATAGAGAAGTCCCACGAAAACCAGAAATAAGATTACTGCAGAGAACTTCCACTCACTGTTTTATATCATTTTAAATTGACCTGATACTTCTGTGCAGATCCAGTTATAAATATGAGAGTTTTCAGCACAGACATTGCAGTGGAGGGGGCTTTCAGCTACCCTTAAGAAGCATCAGCTCAAGGTAAAGATTCACATTCAGAACATTTTGTTGTAAGAAATACATGCTAGATCATAAATGAAGATCCAAAAGACTGAGTATTTGTTTAAAAATACTTGAATGTATTAATTGGAACATAAGATCTTCTTACACATACTTTAGAATTGTTTTACTTGGTTCCTAACTACTTGTGATACTTATTGATTTTAGTTTATTTCAGAAAAATAGTAAGCTTGTTATATTGATTTATTGCAATGAAAGCTTGAAAAGACATCTATAAATACTTAAACATATATATTAAATTACACTGAGATTTCATATGTCCTCTGTGCCCTAAAAAAAGTGAGAGGTTTCAGTTTTACAAATTATACTAAATCCCATTAGAGAACAGAATGACCTAAATAAAATTTCCATGAAATATCAATTTTAGAAAGCAAATCTTCAATGGCTTAAGCTACATCTTTTTAGATTAAAAATACCTCTGACATCAGAGAGGTGGTCTTTATCATTGTCTCCAGACAGACAAGGACACCATGTACTTACACAGTTTCCATTTTTCCCCTAAAAGAAATTTATTTCTTGCATACAAGATTTTTTTCTTCCTGTTTGCTGCTAAGCTTTAAAAGATTTCAATTTCTGCCATGGTCACTATTAATATTTAGGGATTAGTAGGTGAGAGAAATATTGACCAGAGCTAAAGCAAAGTTATTACAATCAAACAACAAATGGCTTCACTAATATTTAAAGCAAACACATGTGATTCTGCTCCCAGAGTTAGGTTTCCAAATTTAATAATAAGCATCTATAGAGGTAACATTCTGCTTATATGTAATGTGCACATCCCTTTGCTCACTGACTTCAGGTGGGGGACAGAAGACTCCTGAAAACATCAACAACTTTAATTTTATCGACAGGTTGTGGATTCTTAATCCTTTAGAAAAACAAAAGCAGTTAATTTCCTAAATTGATGTTTAGAAGTCTCTCTCTAGGTATCTATTGTGTGAAAGAGTTCAGCTCTTAGAATTAACTTCCCCTGCAGAAAGGGCAGTGATAATATTGTGTTGGCAGCCTCACCAACAGAAATTTTTACCTTGTCCTCCCTATCAGCTGCATTTTCTCAGATGTTTCTTCATGGCAAAATGAAGGTGTGATTGTAATATCTGCTAATTGAGTGCAAACCCCACTGGATGTAAGAATGGTGGAGATCAGACACTGGGTACACACCATCACTCAGGCTATTTGACAGAATTTTTAAATATGTCAGCTGTAGCCTAGTTTCCTTTGTCTTCTTGCTGCTCCTCTCTCTCCTAAATATTCCCCTGAAGAAAAGGTTGAAAAGAAATCCTTTACACAAGCATTTTGTGTGGGAAGCACTGTAATGGAACAGGCTGGAGGGATACAGCTTTACAGAGGAGGACCTAGGGGTTGTAGGATGTGTTGAACATTCAACAGCATGCCCTTGCAGGGCTGAAAACTAAAACCCACTGCCTTGTGTTAGTAAAAGCACAGCCAGAAAGTCGAGGGGAGTGATCCTCCTCTCTTTGGCACGAGCACAGCTGCACTGAGCATGCCTGGCCCAGTTTTGGGCTTTCTGGAGAGAAAAAGTACCATAAACCTGTGAAAAACACAGTGGTCAGTGGAGCTGTACAAGGACAACTTAAGAAAGTTTATAATACCTAGCCAGAGGAAGAGAAGACTGAAACCAGATCAAACTGTTGTCTTAAAGTACATAAATTATGGCCAGAGAGGGAAAAAAAAAGCCCCTCAGAGGTGTACAGCAAAATCGATGGGCAAAAATATAAATGGGCAATAATAAAAATAAAAATATAATTACACCAAGAAAAATTCAGATTATGTATCATGAAGTATCTACAAATAATGAAAACAACCCACAAAGAAGGCTTTAGAATGCTGAAAAATCTAGCCCAGACAGAAATGTTTCCATGGAATCTCTGTCCATGGAATCTGGGAGACTTTTCAAAGCTGAATTGGAGAAGACCTTTAGCCACTTGATTTAACCTTGGAATAGATGTTGGGCCGAATGACCTGGGGATCAGCTTTGAGCCCACTTCCATGACTTTCAGAGAGGTGCACATACAGATATGTCTGTATCAACTAAAACAGGATTATATCTCATAGGTATAGATGTTTGATAGGGAAAATAGGAAATGGACATGATGGAATGTCCATCATCCATTGCTAATTGCAAGCTATTTATAAAAGCACATACCTGGAACACAAATACTCATCCTTTAAAAAGACATTTTTTTTCTGGTTTTACATGGCAGATATAATTGTTATTTACATTTAAACTCAAGTTGTGATACAAAATGGCCCTATTATCTAAAAAAAACCTTCATCTTTGCTTTAGAGGTTTATCAAGATAAAATGATCAGTGCCTCTCTAAAACTTAATCAAAGCACCTTAACTTGTTGACATAAAAATTGAACTTATTTAGTTTTAAAATCCAATCTACCTTGAAAAGGAAAAAAGAGTAAATCCATTCAAAATATTCCTGAAGCCTAAAAAGAAATTCTTTATATAATTTTGTTGAAAGAGTATGTAACAATTTTTTTTTTTTTAAAAAAAAATACGTAATTTCAGAATGAAAAATTTTCATTTAGCTTCTCCAGTACTTTTGTTCTTAATAATCTTCCAGAAATGTCACCAGAATGCTAAACTGCAGATCCCTTTGCTGAGTTGGTGCACATCTGAGTGACAGAACACTAAAGTAAAAGGTGTGGCACCCAGTGCTTCACATTCAGTCTCTCTCATTACTAACACTTACTTTATCAAACACCATTCCTTTACCAGATGATGATTCCTTTTTTGAATAATAGCAATGGAGCTACAATTTTAGAGTGGCTTTTTCCCCTTTGGTGAGACTCTGATCTCAGTGCATCATTTATATTCGTTTGCACCATGTATAATACAGTATAACACAATTGGATTTACTGGTGCTAGACAGACGAACTTCTAACCTTTAATGTCAGCTGCATTAGCATATAATTTCATATCTATTTTCTCAGATTTATCATTTCACCTTTTACACTGCACAAAGCTAATGTAACTTCTGCTGATGCCACTGCAGACTGGTTAGGTTATTTTATTTCTAACCTTTGAGAAATGGCAATGTGCTCTTCAGAAGACCTAGAAAACTGAACTGAAATGAATGTGCTCAGTACTTTCCTCCTATTTCTGGTTGTCGGGGAATTTTTCCCCCTTTACTGTTCTTTTTCATACTCCTCTCACACTCCTTTGTTTCCCCACCCTGTTTTGCTGTTCGTGTTTTTTTTTAAATCCCTTTGGAAACTCTTGAGAAGAAGAAATTAGTTAAAGTTAAATGACCAAATTGTTTGCTGGCTTCAATTACACGTCAGCTGAAGGAAAAGCAAAGGTAATTGCATCAGATTTTAAAGCTTAATTTTTAAACTAAGATCTTTTCAAATATGTGTTGCCTTGCTGTTAGGCCAACTGTACCAGTATTTCCCTTATAGTATTGACATGGTTTGGAGTTATTTACATGCCTTGAGCATGTGTATTCATCCTGCCATCTTTTCTGGAGGACACAGTCTATGCTCTGCCATGTGTGTTAGCTGTGCTGTTTAATTCTTTTTACTTACATGTGATTAGATGCTGCATTTCTTTAATCAATTTCCTCAAATTTCCCACTTCTGAAAAGAATTAGTTTCTGTTTCCTCATTTTCTATCCTTGTTACACATTTCAAATTATTCCAGTCTAAAATGCTCGCTCCTTTCAATACTATTCTCATTTCCATTAGAAATATAAGGACAACTGTGGAATGGACAGGATTCCTTAGGCAATCATCTGCAATCTCCATTATTTACCAGTTTTATACCACAGCTCTGCTTTTGCACATTGAACTATGGTAGAAAACAGTAAAGGAAGATAAATGGTTCAGTAATTAACTCTGTAACTTTGCTTGAGGCAGTTTCTTGAGCTAATGAAATCCAAAATATGAGACAAATCAGATAAATGAAGGGTGTTTTCTTCGTTTGTTTTTGTTTTTTAAAGCCACATGGAAAAGGTGGATTTTGAATCATTTATTCATCTGGCCTTACAGCAGAATGAATAGAGGCGGCATGAATAAATACCAATACCTTATGCTTTTTATCCATCTGCTTTATAATGGGCACCTCCACTGGCTTGACAGCCTTCTGCATCAGGAAGCTCTCTTCACTCATTCACCAATGGGGAGTAAAAACCATTCCAGCATTTTTAAGAATATGGAGCAAAAAACTAAGTTCCAAGCAATGTGAAAGAGAAGATGGAAAGGAAATAAACAGCTTTTTATATGCAGCTCTTTCCTAGCTCGCTGCATCCTTGAAGGCAAATCCTTGCTGTCAGCTTTGGTTTCAGTCACTCCATGGCTTTTCAGTTACAGCAGATTTTTTCCAACTCCCCTCAGCCCCTGTGAAGTTTTCCTGATCCCCTTTAAAGCCCATCCTTTCCCTCCTCCTGCTCCAGACTGTCAGCATCCTTGCCTCAGCTGGAGATTCCCTCATTTGCTACATCCTGACTCTTCCTCACCAGAGCAGGCTCCATAGATCTCCTCTGGGAAGTGCCTTCTCCTGTCTCCTCCAGATGGTTCTGCCTCACCTGGTCACAATTTTTAGGGGAGTATAACCTAAATCTGGGACTCAACTAAATCATACACACCCCATGCTGGAATGGCACAAGAGAAATGGAAAATGTCAGGGATGAGTGGTCTGACTGTGATAATAATCCAGAAAACATTGCCCTATGAAGCCTCACAGCTGAGTTTATTGTGCTGCACAGAGTTCTGAGCAATCCAAAACATCAGTTTTTAACATTTGAAGTAACAATAAAAAGATGGTTATATGACCACTACAAATTACAATAAATTCTTCATCTATTCCCTACTCATTTCATGACCCAATAGGAACAGCTTTACAAACACAGATTAAAAAAAAAAACAATAATTCTATAGAATGTATAGGTTTGACAATTGGACCAAATGACACCAAAATCCTTTTAAATACCTTTAACTTCTTTGTCATTCTTGAACCATCTGATATCAGCTGCTGGCTTACTACCAGATGTCTTGCAAGTGAGCTGCATCCTCTCTCCCTCCATAACTGGTGAGGTAAATCCAGTAATTTGTGGCTTCTCAGGAACACCTAACAAGCAAACAAGCAAAATGTGTCTGATAGTGTCAGCTGCTGCCATGAATGCACGACCAACTTAAAGTTCACTTCTTCATATGCTCTGAATTCTGGAAACAGGATAATTAATTCCTCGTGCCTCGTCAGTTAAACCTTTCTCCTATTGTAAATTAACCATCAATCTGAACAGTAGTTGATTCTAAATAAATAAAGAAAGCACCTAATTTTCCAAGAGAAACAGATTGCAGTTTAATAAATACCTTATCTCTGTGTATTTTTGCATGCAGGTCTAGTCTGACTTGTCACAATATTTAAACTGCTCAGCACAGCAAGCAGGATGACAAAGCGCATTAGAAGCACAGCTGTGAAAATTAAACTGGCAACAAAAAGCTGAACTGACCTAAGTTCAGAACAGATATTTACACCTAATTAATGAAGACTTTAATACAAAATCCAGGGAAAAGGAAAGGTGAAAATAAATACTGGAGTCATTTTATCTTCAGAGGAAGCAAAACCAAAACACCAAGAGGTATAATCACAGTTCCCCGACATACCACACATATAATATTCAATTTGGAAATGGTTGTTTTTCAAAGAACCATGGAAGATTTAAAAAAAATGTAATTTAAAAATAATTTAAAAAATAATAAATAATAAATAATTAAATAATAACAAGAAAATAATAAATAATTTTTAAAAAAACATGAAAAAATTGGGAAAGTTTTGATCACTACATGCACAAATGCGTTTAACTTATGAAGACATGAGAATAACTTATTTTAAAGTAATACTGATGACAGTAATTTAAAAATCTCAAAAAATGTCAGTTATAATTTGCAGCTACAGTGCTCTGGTGCATTCACATTTGTGGCAAGATAAAGGGCTCAGTCACAGTAAATGATCCTGTGCCCTGTATTAATAATTCAGTTTTTCTACATCTCTTTTCCAAAATGACAGATTATGTACATAAATGCAAAGCAGCATCACCTGTTGCATAGTACAGCTCTTTAGTAAATCTACTTCTCTCTCTCAGGACAGAAAATGGTGTCAATTACAATACCTTAACACTTGAATTTTCTAATCAAAAGCAGAGCAGCCAATAAAGAGATTAATAGTACATAAAATGATAGTTTATCTGATGAAAAGATGTAATACATTTCAGCATAGAAGAGAAGATCTCCTTCTCCAGCAGAAAATGTTTTAAGAGTTTAAAATGTTACCTTGAAGTAGGAAATTACATATGCAAAATGAAAAAAAAAAAAAAAAAGCAGGAATCTTAAACTGTGCAGCTTTCTCTCTGGGAAGGTAAGTAAATGATGTTGGGAAAACTTTATGAAAACCTCCCCTAAAACAAAGGTAAAGCTTAAAGGACCATTAAAGATCAAGTTACTTTTGTTAATAAACATTGGCTGGATATTTGGGGGTTTTCTTGTCTTTGTAGCACCCTTCTATGTCTTTCTGCCATTTAAAAGGTTGAGCTGGTACCCTCCTCAATTGTTTAGATCATGAAAATGCCTCTCCACAGAAAGAAGATTAAGCACAGGCGGTTGCTATTCCAGAATATTCTGCTTTGAGTGGGTACTTTTTGTCCTTAATGGCAAACTTGTGAAGATTTTTGTAAAATAGTCTCACAGGGACTGAAAGAGAGATGTATTTCATATCCTAAGCACAAAACCAATTCCCTGGCTGGATTAATGTGAATATTACTGCCACAGAGAATATCTTACATTAGTCCTATTAAATTCAACTGTCTGCCCATCCACATATAAAAATAAAACAGAAAGAAAGAGTCATGTTCAGGGACAAAACAAAAGGGAAAGAGAATAAAAATCAATCTCTAAAATCATATAACCTCTTAGGTTCGCAGGTGTGTTTCAATGAACTATAGCAATTTTGGCTGATTGGGCTACTGACATTCATAGAATCATATAAAGCTTCGAGCAGAAACTTTATTTCCTGGGCATCTCTTAGAATCTATTGCTTTTCTATGTGTATCTATAACCTTTGGGGAAAACAGCAGAGCACTTAGAGGATAAAGCATAAAAGAAGCAGCAAACCCAGTGAAAATTTAAAACTTTATAGACCCAAAAAAAAAAAAAAAAAAAAAAAAAGCAAGCAGAATGAGCCAAAAAAAAAAAATAAAATGCACAGCTAAGGAAAAATGATAAAGCTCTAAAGCCCGTTTTGATTTCATGCTTTCTGATTTTCTCCCCTTTGCCCTACCCAATAGATTGTCAGGAGATGAACACATGCACCTTCTTTGCTCTGGAGGTGCTCGGGATGTAGAGGTTATGTCCATTTTCTGGAGCACTCGTTCCGTGGTCCTTGTGTGCTCCCTAACTCATTATCCTGCCACGGTGCAAACAGGAAGAGGAATGCTATTTCTCAGCACAGCAATACGAAACAATAAACATGAGGGGAAACTAGATCAGACATTTACATTTATCTTCTGCCAAACCTTAGAAAAGTTCATTCTTATCATAATTTGCCAGAGCCTGAGGAGTTTAACACCCTCTTCTTTCTGCTGGGTTGGTGCTTTCTGCTGTTTGTGCTTACCGAGGACGGTGAGGAAAGCCTTGGAAGTTTTGACAGGCATGGTGAATAAAGAGCAGGTGTACTGCCCCTCGTCCGACAGGGACACATCGCTGACGCTGATGCTCAGCTCGTGCCACGACGCTCGCACCAGCTCGATTCTGTTGTCCCTCAGAGCTGAAAAACAAAAGGAATCCACCTTAGGGTTGGATCCAGCGCCTGAACAAAGCGTGGGGAGTGGTACAGGAGGCTCCACAGGGGTGTGGACACGGCTGCCCACACAGAGCAGTTTGTTATCTCTGTGGAATAAAGCTGAGCAAGTTTTTGAGAGGTGTATTGAGTGATTTGTAACATATATAAACCGAGAAACTACAGGACTTGACTTACCTCCGGCCTTCCTCTAAAAATCCCAACAATGACTTTGATTTCTGCCCCTTCAGAGATTTTTTTATTGCCTAAAATAAATCCTTCCCAAAACCAGCCTGCTTTTCACATATTTACAGATGCTGAGAATCCCACATCTAGCCCCGCATAGTTTGCCTTCAGATTTTTCTCATGTCCATTACTACTAATACTGAACTGCAATATCAGGTTTCTAAAATTCTCTAAATAATTATTTCTTGTGACTAATAGACTGAAAGTTCCACTTTTTCATGCCTATATAGTACATGTAACAGTTTGAGGTAATTTGGTATAATGGCTTTCCTTTTTTGATTATGAATAAAAGTACAATATCTTCTGTTTGCATGAAAGCAATGAGGGAGAAGAAGTATGTAGAGTCACCTAAATTCAAAATGTCACTTTAGATAATGATTAAAAATTTAATTTTATAACCTATACTTAGATTAACACCCATTTTCTATTGGAAAACTGAAAAAACACTCACAAACATTCTATTATTCTGCAGCAAAGTTGCTTCAGGAATCTGCATATATTATCCAGGCCTTTCCACAGCATAGAAATAACAATATCATAAGTGAGCAAACACTGCAATTCTCCTAAGCAAACAATAAAAAAGTCTCTAAAACTCAGAAAGTTCAGCTGTATACCTCTAGATTGAAATGTCTGGCCAGGTAGTGTGTGAAACTTCAGTGAGCCTATTTTTCCAGCAAGCCTCTGAAAATCAAAAGTAAAATGGGACTGTGATATTTATCGATACAATTACACTTGCTTTGTGAGAAGAACGAAGGTGTTCAAGTCCCTAATGCTCTCTCTCACCTCTTTCTTAAGTCTCCAAAGACTCTTAGATTTGTCTAGTACATCTCTTTCAATGATAAAAATGAATAAAAAGTTTTACTGTGGTTCTTTTGCTGCTAAACCTAGATGTTTCTGCCCCATTGCTGTCCAAGTCGATCCAGGTAGATTTACAAAAAAATAAGAAGACACAGTGAAGATTCAGCAAAAAAAAAGGTCACTTGAATTTATCTTCTTCTAAGGCTGCTATTTAGGCTTGTTCTCACCAGAAAATTTCAGCTGAATTTGCTGATTATTTCAGGGTAGGCCCAGCTAAAGCTCAGCTTCTTCTGCAGGGTATGTTGGACTGAAAGGTAGAGCTTAAGCAGGCCTAACACACAGGCACACCAGGGATTTCTTCTAGGCACATCAAAGGGACTAAGGCTGTGTGCAATGTCAGAACTGAGATGTCTGGCCAGCCACAACAAGGAGAAAACCACAATTCTTCAGTTTCTAATATCTAATCCATATAATGATGAAAATAGGAGCAACCTTAAAGTAAAGAAGCAAGCGAACCAGATGCCACCAATGCAAAGCTGAAAGAAGAGCTGAGAAAAACGAGCTCAGGAAAAGAAAAAAGCAAGAGTCTACCAACCCCTAAGAGCAGCAAAGCTGATCACTGTGGCTTTGGCAGCCAAAACTCCTCAAAACAGTGAAGCTGTTTTGAGCAAGTAGATGGGGACTCAGAATTCCTTTCTCAGCTTGTCAATTCTAGTCAGATGCAAATGAGCAGATATAAAAATGATAGTTTATTTCATATTACTGACCTTCCAAAAAAAAAAGGTTTAAAAAATTGTTCAAGTCCTTCTAAATGGTTTGATCACCACCACACCGATATATATAATTTGGCAACAGCAAAAAAAATAGAAAACCAACAAAACAAAACAACCAAAACCAAAAAGCCTTTCAGCACTCCATAATTTGGAAGTGGTGATATTTTCCTCCACTTAATCTGAAACTATTTAAAGAATAATGCACCATATCATCTTACATAGTATTTGTTATAATTTTCAGTTATAACTGTCTTGTGATAGATTTATGAATCTACTGAAATGTTTTCCTACAGATGGGACAATGTGCAGAATTTCTTGCCCTAAGAAGAACAGAATTCCACTACAGCACAACTGGCCTACAGATGATGCCAACAGCACATCATTTTGATCCTACAATTGAAATACAAACCATTTCCATCAACCACATTCCTATTGCTCCCCTCCCTCAACCTCCTCCTCTCCACACCTTTTCTAACCTTTGTAAAATACAAAAACCTCAGCTCAGTCAATTTTGTGGAAAGCTGGTAAAAACAACCACTGGTCAAGAGATGAGATCAGATATTCCATGTTTTGCTACAGAATGGATTTTTATTGAAAAAACTGCAAGAAAGTTTTGTAATAGAAATACCAACACAGCCTTTGCAATAAATGCTGCAAATAGCACCAACATGATACTCCTTTGCAGGAAAGCTGTTTGTCAGAAGCATTTTTCTAAGTGCTGGGTCTAAAAACAATTAACTCTTCCATCATTTTCAAACCTGATTATTTGTAAGTTTTCTGTCTAAAGATGACAGGCAAACCAAATTTCACTGCTATGGTTTAGACAAGGTGAGCACTTACACAGAGACCTTTTAGGATCTTATTTTCAAATTGTATTCCCATAACTGTTTCTATATCCTCATCTGCTTACAAATGTGCCAGTTTCTCTTCATGAAATTGATAGCTGTGATGGATGCCAGAACTGGTTTGTTTCCATTTTCTGTCTTAGGTGCAATTTTGCTTAAAAGGGTGATGGAAACAACAGCTACACTGGAGGAACCAGGGGTAACTCCAGCAACTCCTGGTACCCAGGCATTGTGTGTGAGTGGAGCAGGGTCCTGCTCTTGGCAGAAAACCTTGCCAAACCTGCCTGATGGAGCAAAGCAGCCCATGGAGCCTGGACAGAAGGCAGCTCCTGAAAGGTACCAGTGGCTAGCAGCTCCACCATAGCAGTTCAATTTAAGTTCCATAAAGTAAAATAGAAAATGTTCCATCACATTTAATTAGCAGTTGAACACAAAAAAAGCAGAACACTGCTCTTTCAGAGCCTTCTTTAGAAACTCCTTGCCTTTAACATTTCACTTTGTTAGAAGCCAAACAGACCCTTCTGGCCTCTTCCTGGGGATTTTAACCTACATTGCTGAATCATTACCCTGTCCATAGTTTGCATACCTATAGGGAGGCTAGAGAAAGGGTGAAAACCCAGAATATTTATTTGACTTCTGGGAAATACACATATGCCAAAAGCAGATACAGAAAATACCAGCCCTAGCATCACTTTGCTGGATTCTCATGTTGCCAGCCATTTGAAAAATATAAAATGCAACAAGAAATATAATTACATAGTAAATTCCAATATGCCCTAGGTACATTACCTCAGTTTTCTGTAATTCCCAGGCATATATGATGTAGTTAATTTGCAAGGCATGAAATAATTATGCATAAAACACTTGTTCCTAAGCAGACACACTTCATTTATTTTACCTGTCATTCTCTTTTCCTGTGGAAAAGATTTCCTTTCAGAATGTTCTCTGACACAGAAACAAGCAACCTTGATAATTTGTAGAGTTGAGGTAATTGTAAGTAAGAGATACAGCCATGTACTTCAGCTGCATTAATTAATAATCCTTGAGACTGATGACCATGACAATAAACTGGTCTCCCTGTTCACAATCAAACAAAACTGTACTTTATTTTTTGAAAAAAAATACTAATATAATGATTATATATTATCATACAGAAATCCTGCAACAGGAATTGTAACAGAGAGACGAAAGAACTTTTTTAATTTGCCAAAATGGAAAAAAAATCCACATTTCATACTGTGAAGAATAGGCAGTTGGACCTGTTAGACATAGTAGCCACATAGCAGCATCTCTAATGTCATTTTCATCTAAAATGACCACATCTTTGTTGAATTTTGAGTCATATATTTGAAGAATGGGAGAAAAAAAACCCCAACAAAATCCCCGAATTCTCTAGAGTGATTTGCTGATATTTTGAGAATACTAACTTGACATGTGCTGCCATCCTGGGATTCACTCAACAACATTTTCTTCCTTATGTTGGAGCTCTTCCTTCTGTCATGGGAATAACATAACCAGTAGTTGGAACCAGAAGGATTTCTGATACTCTACAGGTCACACTAAACTCCCAGAATCATAATACTTATGAAACTGAAACAATCCCTCTGATTTTCAGATTCCAACTTTCTGAATGCAGTACCATAATCTGAAATAGATGTAAAGGGATTTATGTTGTGTTTCTGGATATACTTGAGAAGACCCTTTTTCTTTGCTCCTAATAAATTCAATAGACCAAGGTTCCCATAGGATGATCTACAGAATTTGCTTATAGTTGTGCATCAATCACCACCAGCAGAGCAAGAAAAAAGAGAAATAATGGGAAAAAATGGAACAAACCAAACTAGTATTGTTATTCTGAGCCTTCTAAACATTCATATTTCTTTTCAAAACATTCACATTTCCTTGAAAAGAAGGACTGATACACAGTTATTCTATTCATGCCTAACCCATCTAGTCCATACTTGCATGGTATCTGAATTCCTAAGATTTTAAAACTTCTCAGCTGTTTTTCATGTGGAAAGAAAATCCATTTCCTTCCTCTTTCATTTCCAGTCATGCAAGTTGATTACTTTCATTCAAGTACACAAGGGTGGCAGTGTGAATATTTACTAATCCCATGTTTTCTATTTCTACTTTTGTATGTGCTGAGGCCATTTTTACCTCTCAGTGAAGGCAATTCTTACCTGTCCACAGAACTGCATTTGTGGAACTACCACGTCTTCCCCTGAGACAGAAGTCCGCAAACTGAGCCTACTTTCATAGGTAATGCTAACATAGAGGGGAAAAGAATTGGGAATTTCAATGCAATCTATAAATTTGGCTGATA